TATATAATATATACTAAAACCCCGTCACCAAAAGAAAACAATATACACATGGCCATTATGGCATTTTTAATAACCTATTAAGCAAACTTTGAAAAAAAAAGAGATTGCTCAAACACACATACACACATTTTTTTACCCTTGTATGTATTCAATACTGTAAACGTATTTTAAGACAGAGTGCACTAAATTTAACTTTTTAAAAAATTAGCCGTTGTTCCTGAATTTTTTTTTTCATTCAATGATAACAACTTGCAATTTGTGTCATTTGAGTTTTAAGTCAGCAGTAAATCATTTCCATTCCATTTCCTAAGCAGCGTTGTCCTGAAAAAGAAGAGAAAGGCTGAGAATAATTCAGCAAATGGATGTCCGAAGTTGTGCTGGATATACATCTTCATTTGATTGGGTCTTATGGCATTTTCATGTCCACTATCTTCAACCAGGCTTTTTTTTTTTAACGTAAATGTGGCTCTTTGTTTTTTAATCTAAAGAACATACCTTTCTTGTTCTACCTTTTTTGAAAAGTCTTTTCATTTCACAAAAATTGTTTGCATGTGTCTCAAGAGACTGAAATAGGAAGATCAGTTTTCAAGGCACTCACATCAAATTGAAATGGCAGTAGAAAAACTGTCCAATAAATTATTAGTTTTTTTTATAGTGCCAGTATTGTGAATGCCATGCTTAGCAACACTGACACTTAATCTCAGATGTCCCCCTTTAATAGTTTCACCCATCTCTGGGCCAAGCAATGACAAAAATGCTGTAATTTCTTGTTCAGAAGCCACTGGTCTTCAATGCAAACAAACAAACCAACCAACAAAAATAGCTTTAAAGTGCGGGTCAACAGAATCAAAATGTAACTTTTATAGTAATGTATACTAACTATATCGGGGGTTTTCAAATTGTTCCCTAGAAAATCTCAGGTTATGAAGATGTGTGTATCTTTGTGTCCGCATGTGTGTGTGCACACACAGGCACAGATAAGGACTGACATTTCAGCTGAGGGCACCTGTTCTGATCTGAAAGTCTAAAAGAACAGCAATGAATTAGAGCTGCGGTATGCTCACAAAAAAAGTGTTATATGTCAGGATGAAATGACCATTGTAAGTAGGGGAAATCACATTGTTCCATGTCTGATCAATTAACATGTCAGTTAGAGAAATTAGGCTTTGCTCTCAGTCAAAATACTCAAGTTGAAGAGAAGAAAATGAAGAAGAACCTGTATCTCTTCTAGCCACTGTCCATGCTTCCCTCAGAAGAACCATGGAACTAAAAACAGAAAAGCAAAGCAAGTGAATAAATTCGACTACAATATTTTTTTCTTCTTCAAATAAATGTTATTAACCAAGTGAAGGTTCAGAATTAAAAGGGTTTCCAAATAAAATATTCAAACAGAAATAACAGTGAAGTGATCAGTGACTTCAGTAAAATTCAGGGAACATTTCAGCGCCTCCCAATGAAGGAACCTCTATCTATCATTTATAATTTAACTGAAAAAGAGATTTAATAGAAATGAAGTATCTCCAATAACTCTATGCAATGTGTAAAATGGGACTGAAATGTATGTGGCAAAACAAATATACAAATAATATATTTTTTAAAAAATGCGAAATTAAAAAACACCCCCCCAAACACCTTATTTAGAATGGCAGAAAGTTTTAATTACAGAAATTATGAAGAATTTTCATAATTGTATAAATTCAGAATTTATAAAGAAATTGTGTTTTAAATTTTGTTTTAAAGGACTCAGAACTGCAATTTCAAACACAGAGTTTACTGAAATTTAACATCTTTCATTTCAGTACCATTTGAAAGACTGCAAAATTTAAAACCTCCCTAACAAATTTAATGCTTACAGGTTATTTAAATGGCAGATGCCTAAAAGACTGTGATCTGTAAATTTTGGCCTATTTTCTTTACAATAACACAACTGTGCATTATATGAGAATATTTTAATTTTAATGGAAAAATGCCTCATCAGTTCACAGTTGATCCTTATATAATAGCAGCTGTACCTACTATGCCTATCACTGTTGGTTATGAACCTCCTATCATTTTCTGCTGAAGTTCAATGAAAAGGTTTATTGTCAGATTTCAACTGCAAACTATTAATGCACTCAATGGAGAAGTGTATTTTGTTTTTACTTTTTCAAACATTTTTAGAAGCTCCTGTAGAGATTTTAATTTTTCCACTTTCCCCACACATTTTGATGAAATGGCTACAGTGACAATAAAAACGTTGCTGTGTTTAATGTAGAGTTATTGGCCACATAAGCCAGTGTGAGTATACCTGTGGGCCAATCAAAACCTAGAGCTATACTTTCACTACTTTTTTGTGGCCAAGATCTGCCTCATGTCTACTCCCCTCTTGCACTAGTTTAAAAACTAGTCTAGAAAGTTGTGTCCTGTTTTATGCAACCATGCAAGAGCAACTTTTTAAAAGAAAATGCTGTTTACGTTCTGATCTTGAGGTCTAATATTCTTACAAGCATTCCCATGAGTGTTTAACTGTGATGATTAGCGGCCTTATGTATTGGCTTCAGCATGCCATTAGTTAGAAATCTGTACAAGCTGACTACAAATCACCAGCAATGTAAGGACCTGCCAGGTACTTGAAAATCTCTGCTTCTGTATCTCCGGCAAGCAGCCAAAACAAGAAGCCTTTGGCGAACTACCATATGTGGCTGGTAGGCTGTTTCTAAGGCAACTATTAGGGTGTTGGATGTTATGCTAGTTGGTATCTGCTAAATACTGGGCAAAGTTAGGGGGCCATATAATCTCACTGTTCAATCAGTTGTTCTTTTAAGTTGGCTGTTTCAAAGGGAGATGCACTTTAAATATGAGCCCAATTTAAGCATTATCCTAGAAGCCTGAGGAAGACTGCAGATGATCTCACAAGAACTCTGTTGATTCTTCTCCCGTGCATTCCAGGTGATAGAAATGCATGTGTATAAAGGCACTTTTCAAATGCCCTGAATGTCTCCTGATTTAGAATTCTCTCCATCAGAGTTCTACATCATAGATTGAGCCTGTCTGAGCAGAGCAGACTTCCTTCAAGAAGTGCTTCCATAACTTACAGAGAGCAGAACAGGCATCAGCTCAGAGGAAATATAACCAGCAGGTATGGCCCTGCTTTTTCTCTATACAATTATGGTAACATAGAGACTAATGCCAGAACAGAAATTAAGGCATCCTACAGTGAAGCTGTAAATCTCTGTGTGATTTATAGAAATATTGGGAATTGATTTTGGAGATGATGAAGTCCTTGGAACAGTAACTGCTGTATCTGAAGCAGGTAAAACTGCCATATTTGAAACAGGTAAAGAACTGTTCCTGAGGTGAGACTGAAGGGGAAGTATCTGCTTTAGTTCACTTCCTTGTGCGTTCTGGAGCTATATGCTCTGTAAGCAGGGACCCTATATTCTCCTTTGTTTTTCCTACATCCAGGGGTTCAGAGTGCTCTAATGACACTGGAAGTCATTAGTTTTCTCTTACCACACTTAACTATACCTTCCCTTAACACACATCCCAAGTAAGATTCTCCCCAATTAGAGAAAAAAATAATACATTAAACCATGTAAGAAGAACCATACTGAAAAGTCCTGCTCTCTCTTCTTACAGAGGACAGCTAGATATCTCTGGGAATCCTATTTGTAAGACATGAACCCCATGGCACCTCTTGCTTATGTTCCACAGCAACTGATGTTCTGAAGCATACCATCTTTGATTCAGGAAATAATTTAAAGCCATCATGTCTTACTAGTCATGGATAAAGAAATCCTATACCAAATCCCTAAACCACTTGGCATATAGATTGGAAGGGAGGGGAAATCACTGTATTGTGTAACAGCAGATTTAATTTATACTGAATCTCACAATATTCAACCTTACTGGATAATCCTGATTCTAATAACTGAAAGAAAAACTTCCCTACAGCAGGCATAATTTTATACATGTTTGTTTTCTCCCAAGTTACTTGTTTTTATCTAAGCTAAAAAGTCCCAGATGTAATGTTTCCTCATAGAGCAACTGCTCTTGCCCCTTGATAATTTTGTTGGCTTTCATGCACATTTTCCAGTATGATTTTTTGAGATGCTGTGGCCAGAAACATACACAGACGTCAAACATGAAGATACTTACTATATGTATCTTTATAAAGATATAACAATATCAGGACTTTTATTTATTTTTATTCCTTTTCTAATCATCTCCACCATGGAATATGACTTTTATAGGAGCTGCACACCGGCTCAATGTTTTCACTAAGCTGCCTATCACTATTTGTAAAATCCATTTCCTGGATCAGTCTGTGCCAGCTATACCCCATAAAAATACCATCAAATAGGAATAAAAAGTACATCGTATTATACTTTTTATACTGAACTGCAGTGACCATCTTACTGCCCAGTTATGCATTTTGAAGAGTTCTATTAGAGCCCTTTGCAGTCCCTTGTTTTAACCACCTAAAATACTGAAATGTCATCAGCCAGTTGGTTACTGCACTGCTCATCCCTAACTTTAAATCATATATGAGTAAGTTTAAAAATACTGGTTCCAAGAACAAATCCTTGGGGGAAGGGTCGGATTACACAACTTTTATTTGTAGTAAATAATGGTTTATTCCTGCTGTTTTCTGTTCTTTAATCAGTTACTAACCTTGGATATTACAGAACAAGTGAATGCCTAGTTTTCTGTGACATAGCTACACCTATGCAATTCTGTTTATTGTCCATCTTGTTTGAAGTACATGTTGTTACGTTATTTAATTAGCTGGCAACTAATTCTTTGCATGGAAGGCTGCAAGGTGTTAAAATTGTGTGAAATTTCCTTTCAAAAGAATATTGGAATAAACTAGAGAAAAAGGATTAACCTATTTTATAATTAAATAATAATTATTTAATCAGGGCAACATTTTGAGAAAGCTGATGGTATGATAATGAATAAAAATTTAGAGCTGCAGTCTTTAATTGATTAATCAGCCTGAAGAAGCATATTGCACGATCCTTAAAAGGGCTTATTCTCAGGAACAATATTCTCAGCATATAGTACAATTGTACCAAAAGTAAATAAATAAATCCATGATTAATTGGGCAACTTTTTTTTGTTAGTCATTTTTTAAATATAATTATAAAACTCAGATAGTAAGGATCACACAAGGAAAAGCATTTTTCTCTAACAACTAAAACAGGCTGTCTGATATCTAGTAAATCTATCTAGTTTGGCATTGTCCACACTGACAAACATTTTACAGAATTTCAGGAATGGATCTTTCCCAGCCGTACCTGGGGATGTCAAAAACTGAACTGGGAACTTTCTGCGTGCAGAGCATGCACTATGTACCCTTTCATTTCACACACACAGAACGATTCCTCTAAAATGAACACCTGCTGCAACATATAAATGTATTCTAAAAAAAAAGCCTTTTTCTTCAAAAGTTTTGTTTAGTCCTAAGCAAATTTATGCACATCTAATCTGATTGGGTGGTTTTTCAGTGAATAGCAGTCATAATCAAAATATCATTTTACCCATATTATACATGCATTTCTCTATGCACATATATATCGCACATGTATACTAATTAAACTACTTTCAGTTAAAAACACACACTAGTCTGTTGCTGCATATTGGTATAGAATGGTCACTTAGTGTAAATGTACATATTCAGGTTATCAAGTGACAATTATCATGTGAATAATGTATAATGTGAACAAGGATAAGTGGCATGCCTGCAAAAAAATGAAGCTTTTCTTTGTGTTTTGCATCCTAAAATTTGCACATGAAGCTCTCAGGGCTCTCAGTTTCTCTTTATTTAATGAACTGTGTAACAGAAATGGCAGAAAAGAAAAAAGGATAAGGCATTAAAACAAATTCCCTAAAAATAATGCACAATTTTTGCTATTGCTTTTGTTATTATAGCTGCCTTTAGAGAATTTGGTGCCCGTTTCTTTTTATTTCTCAAAATGTTTATTTTAGAATCTGTTAAAAATAATATTTTAAATAAAGGCCTCTATTTTAAGTGGTATCATCAGTGCTAAATTTTAAATCCAAATCCAAAAGAAAGTGCTAAAATTTTAAGATTGTTATCCGCGATACGATTTAATATTTCCTAATTCTCAAATGATTTTCTTTTTTCTTTTTAAAGAACAACAACAAGAAAAACAAAATGTTGGCTTCTTCACAAGAAATTACACATGCTCAGCATAAGATTCAACAAAGCAGCGGCCCTCTAAAATTATAATTTAAATTGATATGCATCTCCCCTTGTAATGCAAATAATCTCAGGTTACTATTGGGGAAAACTAGAATGGGATACCCAACAAAATTTAAAAGGAAATCTAAAAGAAAAAAAAAGTATTAAAAAAAAGTACCTGCACATGCCAAAACAAACAAAAAAACAAAATAACCCAATAAATACAGAAATTATTGCACAGTTAAAAGGCTTCACAATTTTTACTGCCTTAACCAATCCTCAGGTTTAATAGAACTTTGTAGACACAGGTTATATTTAAGTGCCAAATTCTGGCACCTGCCATAGTTACACTAAGATATGTTTGTGGAGGCAAGTTAGGTCAGCTTTTCTCAGTTGGCAATAGTTAAACTGTACAACTTAAATGTTACCTAGACCCCTGCTTTTAACCCAGTGGGGGAGGGGGGGCTTAACTTCTTTCTGCCTGCTCAATTTTTACATCATTTGTCAGCAAGTGTTCGCCATGCCACTTTTTCATGTGTTTCTCCAGGGTGCTGTAAACACTGAAGGGCATCTGGCAAATGTCGCAGCGGTAGACCTCCTTCCCTATCTGGCCATGCGTTTTCATATGACGTGTCAGCTTACTGCTCTGGGCACATGCATAGTTGCAGAGCTCACATTTGTAAGGCCGCTCTCCTGTGTGGCTCCGGCGATGCACCGTTAAGTTACTGCAGTTCTTAAAGACCTTGCCACAGTATTCGCACGTGTCACTCCGCCGTCCTTCCTTTGAACTGGGTCGACCGGGACCGGGTCCACTGATATGGGGAGTGCTGCCTCCACTCGCCGTCCCACTGCGCCCTGAGAGACCACCATCCAGCATGTCACCTGGTGGTGTAGAGAAACGCAGGCTTCCATTCTCTGAGGAATGCTCCGAAGAAGTCGCAAAGGGGGATTGTCGGGAGTCTGTGAACCCTAGAAATGGATCCTTCATGAAGTGCCTTGATGCTGCGTATCCTACCAGCCACTGAGAGTAAACATTTTCAGAAGGTATTATTGTTGCTGGTGGCAAGTCCAAATCCTTTTCTATCTTTATTCTTTTGGAGGAATTATTTAAACTGGGGCTTGTGATAGGGGTGGGCTTGCGAGGGAACAGCCCTGGGAAGGGTTCACCTGGCCCAAAGTTTCTCCCATTCACTGTCCCTTCCTCAGTGCGGTCAAGTTCTCCAGCTACTGAGTCTTCATCACCTGTGTCTCTCTGGCAAAGGTCTCGAGGGCAGAGATCTCGCTGATCTGAAGACCTTTTCATGAAGCCACCTCTTTTCTGCTTTTCAGCCAGCATGTCACTGTATTGCTGGATGGTACCAAGGCTTACATTCTCTATCACTTTTCCTAGGACAAGGGATTTTTCATCAGGCAGCGATTTGGAACCATTCTCTCGGTTACGGCTTAGTTCTGAATCCATGCTAAAGCTTGACTCGGGTCGACTTTCATTTTCCAGCTCTTCTTCCTCCTCTTCTTCCTCCTCTTCTTCTTCATTGTCATGGCCTAGAGAAGGATCACTCTCATTCCTGAAATCTGCCTCACTAGATTTTAGTCCCTCTCCAGTAAGTTCACTTGTGCCAGGCTCAGGGGAACTTGTGGCAGACAATCCATCATCAGACCTCCCTGTCATGGACCCAGCTTTGTGCATATGCGTTTTCATATGGCGTTTTAACTTGCTGGCTTGGGAACAAGCATGGTCACAGAGTTGGCATTTATAGGGCTTCTCTCCTGTGTGACTGCGCCGGTGGACAATGAGATTACTCTGAAACTTGAAGGTTTTTCCACAAAATTCACAGGACTTACTTTTTGCCTGAGGCTGAGGAGGCGTAGTGCTGCTTGGAGGCATTGGTGGCAATGGAGGGGTGTTCAGAAAAGGAGATTTAGGGCTTGGCTGGAAAGGATTCAACAAGCGATGCATAGGGTTGCTGCGACTGGGTGAGACTGGTGGTGGGGTGGAATTGTTTCCTGCCAGTTCTCGAAGCCTTCTGGAGAAATCCATCGCGGGCGACTCAATTGCCATGGGGTTTAAACGCATGACTCTGTCAAAGGCACTAGGATGCTGGGCAACTAACCCCATTTCTTCGGCACTAAGGCGATGTGGATCCAGATGATGACGAGGTGGCGGACTGAAGAGGGGAGGTGTGTTGGGAAGCCGACCTTCACCAAAGCCAGGATGATCACGCAGGATGGGACCTGTCATTCGTAAGAGACTAAAAGGGTTATTGTCGCCTAGGAAATTCATCAGCGGGGACTGTGCAACAGTCTCGGGTCCCAGAGGAGGAGGGATGGTGATGCGTGGAGTAAGGGAGCTGTTTGAAGGGCTAGTTTCCAAGTAGATGCGGAATCCATGTGTATTCTGGGCATGCTGAAGCAAGAACCAAGCGCTATTAAAAGGGTGCTTGCATGTTGTGCAAATATAGCTTGAAGGCTCATCTTTACCTGCAGAGGAAAAGAAGGGACAGAGAAAAAGGGAGAATAATTAGAAAAGCAACCCAGAGCACTGTGAATAAACTTTATCCTCAACAGTTATAACATAAACATGATTCAAGTATAGCTTTCTAGAAGCAATTAATATTGGTGTTATAGTCCAAAATGTAAGAAAGGCCTCTTAATCTCAGCAGTTGAGGCATTTGACAGGGAGAACATGTTTTATGCCAGTTCTGAGGTTGATTCAACAGTCAGTGCTCCTATTATTACTACTTAGAGTTAAGTATTTCTTTCTTCAGACAAAATGTGACAAAAAAAGTCTAGACCATTAATGCTTCTTAAACAACACAATGGTAGTATAAAAAGTGACAGAAATCACAGAGGCAAGTTAAAATGTATAGTATATTCTGTCAAAAAGCTGTTTTAACAATACATTTTGCCTCAGCTTACCCTTGAATGGATTTTAACAAACCCCTCTTTTGAAATATGATCTAACAGCAAATCAAGTACACAATCTTACAAAGCCATGCAGCTTCAAAAGAATGAATGTTCTGCTTCCTTTAGACAGATTTTATACAGATTTTTTATTTATCAATAATAATTTATACACTTCCTATGCAAATATGTCTTGAAGCAAATAAAAATTATACAATAAGTTAAAACACTGTAAAATCATCTTAATTAAAACTGGGGTGGGGGAAGAGAAAAGGAAAGCAAAGCCCCATTCATACTATGGAGGCCCGAATGAAAAGATACTCTTCAACAGGCACCTAGAATAATTGGTTGATTACCCATGGCTGACTGAGTCTTCCATCTTTAATGTCACAAAAAGAATTTTCTATCTATCTGTTTTCCTTTTAGTGTTCCTCTAAGTTGGCTCACCTAATAAAAGAGTTCTCTCCCTCAAAGGGATATACCTGAAAGATAGTGGTTGCAACATTGTTTTGAATTAAACTAAAGACCAAGACCAATCCAAAAAAATAGTTTTAAAATGGCAATTGATTAGCCACTAGCATTTGTTTCCTGCAGCTGAGAAGCTTTTTTAAAAGCATATACTGTACATTAAAAAAAAAAAAAACACCTTTTTGAAATGCAAGACAGAATGAATCTATTTCACTTCTGCTTCCTACTTCCCTTTCAAACCCAGCTTATTAGTGTGTGTCCCTGGCATAAGATATTGGTATGATAAGCTAACACTGATAAGAGTAGTTCTTCTTTCATTTCACTTTTATGCCCATGAACTTTTCTGTTCAGCAGCCCCTGTTCACAATCCTAAGACTGACTGAGGCTGCCCAATTACCAAGGTTTTGACAGATTCACTTTTTCTTTTTTCTTCTTTTTCTGCCTGCTTCACTTTCACAACCCTCAAAGGCTCTTCTTAGATTCCCCTTTATTTTATATAAACTTCTATTTAAAATAAATAAATAAAATGTTCATTTCCATATTATCACTTCATGGTTATCTTGCCTCAAAATCGCCCTAAGCAGTGTGAATGCTCACTTTTAAGAACAGAACAACGTCAAAAAGTCTTTGAAGATCCACTCCGAATATTTTTATATGCTGAAAGTTGCCAAGTATTTTTAAAATGCTCAGATGGTTAGATAGTGCTGTAAAGTGATTGCTATAGTTGATGCACAATGCCTACTTTGGAAAAAATATGCCGTAAGGTCGGTTTCACTGTGTATCTAAGTTGTCTAGCTTGGCTTCGCATATTATACGTAAGTGGGAAAAAGACATTGGAGTCAATTACATTCTTTATTGTCACTAGGGGTGAAATAAATGTTATGGTGTGGAGGGCAGTGTTCTAGCCAGTTGGTCTAAAAGGGATATTCCATTCTTCTACTTCATTTATCTATTTTCCCAACAAATCACACTTACACCATTCTGGGCCCACTGAACGTGATCAGCATTGCTAACCTTAAGGTGCCATTTCTGCACACCTTAGTGTTCCTACATGCCTGCTACTTCCCTCTTGTATACCAATGGTACTGTACTACACAGGGTTCTACACTGTGAGCAGAAGAGTGCTACTTATATATAGAATGTTTCCTGTGCCCATATACAATAGTCAACTTCTAGCATATGGCCATGAAGAAGAAACAGAAGTTCTCCAACAACATGTTAAAGTTGGGGGGTGGGGGGGAATGTCATTTATGCTTCCTTCTGCCTCCTTACTTGGTTCAAGTTTATGTCTTTTTTATTGGCTGTGCACTTTTACAATAAATCTGTTTAAATAATGAAGAATGCCATCATCATGATTCACAAATTAAGTAGTTCCTTTTAAATTTCCGTCTGCATTAAGACTGTGAAAACTGTGCAGCTCTCCTCCTACAAGCAGAAAAGTAGAATATAATAATAGTACAGTAAC